TATATATATATATATATCGCATATAATATACACATATATAATAATTAATACATGCCGTATGTAATGGAAGCATTCACACGCTTAGGTTTACCTTGTGCGACGCTCTTTTGCGTGGTGATGCCATGTCAGTGTGCGCGCCAAGAAAACGTATGAATGCCACTATCTTGAAAAAAAGATGACACGAAAGAAATTAACTAAATTTAAAATAAACGAAACCTTGAACCACATAGCTTGGGCCTTGCTTGAATTGGTCCCAAGCGCTTGTTTAACAAGTCCGAAGTGCGTCGCCACGTGCGATGACACTATGTTATGTTTCAATGACATTCAGGTCATTTTCAATGACCTGACAATTCAGGTTTAGCTAATACCTTCTATCATTTCCTTGTAAGAGTAGTATTTGGGCATCCACGTGTCGGGCATGTAATGCCAATTAACGAATTACACGAAAGGTCATGGCGCGTACGAATTCGCGATAAACTAGCCATTACTCTGCCATCAGAGATCACTTCGTCCAAACATAAACATGAACTCTAACAATCAGGGCGACGGGCCTGGGACTGATTCTAGTTTCCGCCGCGCGAGAGCAGCACCGCCCTGAACGCCCTGCGGAATGCCTCGCTCCATCCGGTTTAGACGAAGAAGTTAACGCTCGAGTTGCAGCAGGCCATCCCGTATCCCAGCCCGAGCAGCATGCCCAGCGGCTCCCGTCGCACCTCGAACACGGTCAGCGGCAACACGGCGAAGTGCGGAGCCCAGCAGACGAAGAAGGCGCCGACGACGATGCTGAACGTCTTCGCCAGAATGGAGTGAGACATGCTCTCAACAGCATATGGCATCAAGTTAAGCATGACTGGCTTTCCAAACACCATGATACTATGCCAGTACTTGCAAACATATCAGTGTGTCACTACGAAACTGACACATACTGTGATACACCAACAACATGACCTCACTACAGCCAAACCTAAGTGAACACTAAAGCAGGAAACCACCGTGGTAATAGCAGCACCTAAAATTAGCTTCACTGTATCACGTTTCTTCTTCTAGCAGTTTAAGCTCACACACATGCCCACCGTCCGCAAAACTTTGTATGTTTAAGGACACGTGTTTAATAGCTATGTGTTGGTAAAGTAACCATCAACAATTAGTGGCGGTGGGCATGTGCGAGAGGAACTCACTCCACATAACCCACATAATATTGGCAAGGCTCTGTGCCAACATTTGTAAAGTATTCATCATAACGGACATAGTTGGTTTTTTATCTGCCAAAAAACGCTAGCAAGCTATTAAATTCACATAATGGGGTGTTCACCACTAATCCACTGTATTTACAAAATACGAAGATGACAAAAAATGGTAATTATGCTAGTTGCACTAAACTGTTTGGCAATGAGTGTATCATTTGTATATTCTAAAACTGGCATGTAGACTGCTCTGCCGCTCACAGCTGCAACTGACCTCAATAAAATTGTTCTTCCACTGGATTTTTACTGTATCATTTTAACATGTGAATTGTTTCTGACTGTGGTCCTACCTTCGTTGAGCAGTATGTCTGCATTATCTAGACTCTTCTGAATCAGCCCCCTGCACTGCTGCAGTGGTGCCAGTGATGTCTCCTCTACCTGCTTTACCTGTGGACAGATAAGACACATATATACATTCACTCCACTTGCATGTGCGAACATTATCAAACGAAAATGTACTATATGTGGCAGTTTTTTGCCACAGATGTATTATCAACGGTTTACTATTTGCATTTTAAAGGGGCTCAGTTCTCGTTTTGGCAGGTTCGAATTTTTAGGCAATGTCGCCTGACTTTGTAAACCAATCAGATTTGGTGGGCACACTTGACCACTGAGCCATAACTTGACAGAAGCCTGGCATGAGACAGGTAAAAACTCATGCATAGTAATAAGTATACATAACCAAGTGAGTGGGGCATCAGACCTATTGTGTAAACCAAGGAATAAAAAAATACTTCATGAACAACTATGACAGATTTTACTGACAGATTACAATAGCATCGAACTCACCTGAGTTGTGAGCAGCTTTTTTCGCTCATCTATGGTATCTAGAATGTTCCGTTTCAGCTGAGAAAATCGTTCTTCCAGCTGCTTCTCTGTGTGCAAGGCACTTACTTGTATCTGCACAGTGCAATTTAGAAAATCAAGCAATTGGCAAACAACACCCTAGCACCTCACTTCGATGTTGCAAGATAATTACAAAAAAATCATTGTGAGGTGAGAAAATATTCCGTAGTGACTAACCTGATTTTCAGCTAATGTTAAAGAGTTGAGCAACTCCTCTAGGTTGGACTTGTAATGCTTCGCGTTTTCCAATGTTTCTGATATGTTTCTTTGAATTATTTCTTCCATTCTGAGCCTAAATATAAGATTAACTAAAACAGTTAGCAATTTTCATGCGCCATTAAATAGTGCTGGGTTGTTGTGACTCCACCATACTTAGTAGTTCATTCCGATTTTTGCACCAGGGGGAAATACACATTTTACATACCAGGGTATTTGCTTATTTAGCATATGTCATGTGCTATTTTCAATAATGCTAAATAGCTGAGCTCGTAGAGCACCAGCGTTACGTCTGAAAGGTCGTTGGTTCGAATCCCATCTGTTTAGTTTCTTATTTTTTTTATTTTTCTGTTTAGGGTTAGGGTTCACAATGCGTATACATGTGTACTCATGTGTATTATGGACCCGAGCGATCCCGAAGTTGCGCCCTACTAGTATTCAGTACTAGTACTCAGTACTAAGATACTCAGTACTAGTACTACTAGTACTAGTAGTAGTAGTACCTACTAGTACTACCGTTCGGCTATTTCCGGAAAAACGTGTATTTCTCCCCGGTACACAATTCGTTAATTCCATGTAAAAACACTTCATGTTGTAACTTGCCTCAAAATCTTGTGCATGCTTAAACATTAAATTAAAAGAAGATATAAAATTATCAATAATGTCTTCAAAAAAAAAAACCAAAAAAAAATAGCTGAACTTATGTTCCGTGACTGTCTTAAAAGGCATAATATGGCCCACTTGCATTATGCAAAAGTTATGGATGCTACAGTAACTGGCAACCTATCTGTTAGTTAATAAAATACATTACCTTATAGCCAACGCGTATTAGCTTTGTACCAATATTCAACTGCTTAATACTAAGAAATGTCTAATTGAAATTCCGTAAATCTCGGTTATCTGGCGCCAACGCATAAATTCGTTGCGCCAAGCAAAATAGCCTCAAGATTCGGTTAGGTGACATGTGGTCGGGTGTTGAGCGAGAGAATTGTTTGCTCCGGGTGCTTATTAACGCACGAGTGAGCTAAGTAAGAATTGTATCTCTGGGTTGTATCTCGGTTATTGAGGGCACAGTAACTAACTGGGTGCCGGACGGCGGCTGTAATGAACGGGGTACCCACATGTCTTCAATTTCGGACACAGAGTATTCCATGTTTGACCAATATACGTAAATACGACGTAGGTGCCGGACTGCTTTCCATGTTTGTCTGTGCGTCGGTTAGTCCGCGATCATCTCGTCACACTGTTGTCATAACAGTGCATGGGCCAGGGGACGGCCGCACAGGGGGGGCAGGGGGGGCGGTCGCCCCCCGCCTGGCAGCCGACCCGTATCACTCTGCTAAGGAAAATGAAGACGAAGTAAGAGAAAAAAAGAAAAGGGAAAAAGAAAAAGCTTTCGAAATAAGAAAAGAGAAAAAGAGAAGAAAAGAAAAAGAAACATCTTGCACATCGTCTTGCAAATGAATGCGGTTGGGGTGACCATCGATTTGCAGAAAAGGCTAAGAAGTAGAGATTCTTGCCAAATAATAGCGCGGGATCGCCCAAAATGAGTGATGTAGGCCGTACAAGCTGCGCCACTTTCATCGAAAATCGAAAAATTAAGTGTCGAACTTTCAATCCTATAACACTCGTGCTTTATTGATAATCGCGATGTCAAGCGTGTTATTTCTTTGGGCGTCCCAAGTTAGAGGACATCCTTTGTCGATGCATGCTGCTTCGGCGGAAGAGGTAGGCCACTTTGAGAGCGTGTTAACAAACTTATAAATTTAATTTACAAACGTTCAGGACTGACTCTATAATATTACTTGACTATCTTTATTTTGACCTCCGCCCGGAGGGAGGGCAGTCGTATTGTGTCGGGTTCTGTGCGTATCGTGTACACGTTAGCGTTGCTGTTGTGTGTGTGCTGTGCTGGTGTGTGTGTGTGTGTGTGTGTGTGGTGTGATGTGTCGACGCGATTGATATTATAGACCGCAGTCACGCGAGCGCAGCCGCCACAGCGGGACTGCTGCTGACTGAGCGTCTGCGAGCGAGCATACATTGTACGCTGGGTATATGTGGGTTATTCGGATGCGCTGGCTGTGTGAGTCGTATGCGTATGTCGCTGACGCGGAGGATATGCTCTTGTCGTGCCAGTGCCTCTGCCTAGTTTTAGTTAGTAGCTGTGTATGGGTGCCGTAGTGTGTGTGGCGTGTGCGTGTTGCGTGCGTTCATCTCTGCCGGTCATGTTTTTTCTCGCCTCTACATATACAAAGCAATTATTTTGGTTCAAGTGCCTACAGCATAGATTTTAAAGCAAGATCATGTTCCCCCACAGTTCGGATGACCCCCTCTTTTAAAGCGTGTACAGTTCATAAGCATTGATTTTCACGAAAATCACTAGCTAGTTCGGAGACCTCATTTTTCGACGATAGCGGACTTCCCAGAGCCTTATACCAATTTCAACAACATTAGTTCCAGAGACAACCATTTCAGGTCTTTTTGGGAGTTAGTTCACAGCACCCCCCCCCCTATTTTTAACTTCGCAGTGTATCAGCACATACCAGATAGCCTCCATAATGTGGAGGTGAGTCCTGCCCCGGGCGTTTCATCTCACTTTGGTATATGTTGCTCCTTGCTTCCCTGCCCACAATTTCTTTGGTCTAGCAATTTGAGGGCCACTTTGATGTGGCTAAACTATGAGAGTCCCCGGACCCTGGCAGCGGGCTCTGCCATGGACCCACAGAGGCCACTAAGGCGGCCTCGGGCCGGTTGATTCTCAACGTTGCCGGCAAAGTGATATTTGCGTACACAGATTTCTACGAAGTATGTTACGCAGCCTCGTAGGGTGCCGAATTCTCAACGCCAGCGTAGCACCTGCGTACGCAAATGTTTGATGAAATTCTCCAGTAGTAAATCCACTACGCATCGTAGCTGCTGGCTGTCGTGCAGGGGGGCTGCCTAGAAATTAAACAATCACACCTGTGCGCACACCTTACCAGGAACCAAAACTGAGCGCGCCTCTCTTTCTGATGTAACCATATGGCTTCTAGCACTGTCTACAGGGAGTGCTGGGCGGATGTGATATAGTTGTCCTCATTTTTCGTTTGAGATGGCGTTGTGTTCAACACTCGATGAAAGCAGCGACCGGACGCGTGGCGTGGCGTGCGTCGCCGTGCGTGCTCGTGTGATGCACGCTACACGTGACCTCCTCCGCACGTGCGTGCGTCTTGGGTGTGTGACACGTCACGTGCGTGCTGCACGTACAACGTGCCGTGCTTCGCGTACGTACCGGGCCGGTGCGTGGGCGTGCGATGATGTACGTACAACGATGCTGCTTTGTGCTGCAGTACAAAGTGCGTCGTGCCTGCACGGCTTACAAGTGCTGTGCGTGTGCACGTACAAGTGCGCACGGCGTTGTGCACAGTACACGGCTAACTTACGAACCGCTCTATAACGAAAACAATTGCCAAGCTATGACAAAAAAGCTGTCAATAGCGCCGCCTGTCTGTGTAGATATGGAATTTTTATTTATTTTTAGTGAGTAGTAACTTTATAATGTTTTCTCAATAAAATAATGCATCGCTGCGGTAGCTGAAAACACTGCTGGAAATTTCGAGTGTTTACGCGCAACCTCCGTAGCTCGTGTAAAGTTCACGCAAAAGGTTTACGTACATTTAGGGCTTGATGAATCGCACTAAAACGGACTTCGCTTGCGTACGCGCAATCATACCGAAAATTTACTAAATTAGCGATGTGTTTGATGAATGCAGCAACTAAAGCACGTCGATTGCGAACACAAGATACTTACGCACAAATATTTTGACAGCTTGTGACATCATGAAATACTACCCCTGGATCACCAGTCAGGCTGCAAGCGCACACGGTATCAGTCTACAGTTCCAGGGGGCTGTTGTGACGGCGGGGGCTCCAGGGGGTCCGGCTCCCCCCCCTGATCGCGCAGAAACGCATCTGGGGGCTCTATATTTCAAAATTTCCTTCAACGCCGGGGGAGAAGCCCGAGCAGACCCCTTCGCGTGCTCCTGTCTACACGCCCTCGTTCGCCCCCCCTAAGAAAATAGCCCTGGCGCCGCCCCTGAATGGGCCTATTATTCCTTTAAAATTAAATAGGACAAACACAACAATTTAAAATTCATCACAGTACATCTAAGTATGTAAATCGCTAGTATAAGGGGTTGACATGTTCTTGAGCCTACTCTTGTTGGGTTACATTAATGTATCTAGGCTTGAGGACTGCCAGAAGTCACTACTTGCTCATTTAGTACTACTGAGTACTGTCACTGTGTCAGGATGTACGACCAAGTACTAGTAGTACCCTAACGTATTACATTTTGCTTTGCACAATTTTGCTTTGACTGTAAACGCTGAATCAGCTCTATGGACTCGCATAATGTCAACTATAAAATAAAGCATGTTTTACATAATTTCCTTAAGTTTTCTTGTAAATTGTACTTACGGTTACACTGTTATTAGAAGTCACTAATCAAATTATGTTGTTTCCCCAGACTTCCATGTTTACGATAAGTGGCGACCTCTCTCGGCTCGTTCGTCGACCACTGACATTGATGTCTCCGGCCTCCGACAGATGGCATGGTGAGCTTCGGCGGCTCTGTGTCAGGTGTCAGGCATAGCTCTCGTATGATATACCGTAACACGTGCTCGATCTGTGTCAGGGCATCTTTTCGTGTAGTTACGATTTAACCTCATAAATATTAGGCTTCAAAGTCCAAGGGATTATATCGGAGTTAGAAAGAGACAAAGTTGATCAAATTAACGGATCAACACCGCGGATCGCAGTAGAAAAAGCATCAAGATTGTGGCAATTAACTAAAGAGGAAGGAGAAGAATTGCCATACGGGAATGACAAGACACACAAAGAAGCTAAACCTTCAAGATGCCCTTAGAAGATAGCACTGTCGTAAGGCAATTATCACGCCGTTGAGGGGCATACACGGTTATACACTAATCACGTGAAGTGCACATGGAAACACTGCTAACACGTGGCCAGCGTACACGTTGGATACGTCACAAAGGAGCCGAAGTTATGGAATGAACTCTCTCTGGAATTCCACAAGACTGCCTCATTTAAAACCAACTAAAAAATATAAATATCAAACACTCCTACTGTCAAAATATTCTTGTCATAAATTACATTATTACTAGCATATACCCAAACAAAACACACCTTGTAACCAATTGGCAAACCATGCTAAGACAAATATAGTCTCTACACTGCAACAAGATGCCTTTGAATCTTGAACTGGGGGCTCAGCAGAAGCCGGAGTGTTCTGCCCGTATATTGTAAGGACTTCATTCGTGGCCCTACTTGCGTATAGCTACCTCAGAATTCATACTGCTAATATTGAACTACTTATAACTATATGTATATATTATTTGTATACTATTATATGTATCAACCTGTTTATTTCATATCTTCTATAAATGTTGCCGAAAAGAAAAATACTTATTTCTGTAGACTCTCACCTGTATGAGCACCTTGAAATGAGCGAATTGTTCCTATCGCTACTCTGCTCTTCTTTTTGTTGACAGTATCAATTCCTGGGGCCACCTATCATGCCTGTATAAGTTTTTTATTTTATGCCGTGTTCATGTAATAAGCTGTAGTAATTATATACCCAATATGTGAATGCCCCCACCTTGCACCCCGCCCCCCCCGCCACGACGCCCCGCCCGGACGCCCCCCCCCCACCTTCGACCCGCCCCCAACTTCAATTTATACGAATTCACTAATATCTTCTTCGCGCTACAAAATTATTTATTGTAGCATTATTACTATAAACTGATTACTGTTCCTGGTTAAGCTTATTCACTGTAATATACTGCACCATTACCCTTAGACCTTACCTTCTGTGACTTGTAACAGCCGCGTGATGAGCAGAATTGTTATCGTTTCTCTCTTTTTTTGTTGTGACAGTCATCAATCATCGGCTTTATATTACTTGATATATTATTTATTATTAATGTCTTACATTTACCATGGATCATAATTTACTTTAAAAATCATCCTGCATTACCTTAAACGACTATTCTGGGTGAGTTATCAGGGTAATAACCAGCTTATGTGGAATGTACTTATTAAATATATACGGCTCGATAAATGCTTTCTTTTGAATTGCTATATATTATTTTTTTTTTATCGCCTGTTCTGTAAATATAACTGTTACCCAGATGTGAATTATTCCTAATCTCAACTTAAGTTCATCAAATTCAATATTATATTACTTGCGTGCCCTACGAAATTTATTTAATGGTAGCCTACAATACTGTAACTGATTACCCTGTTTCCTTGTTTGCTTATACACTGTATATTATCTGCCACCATTACTACTTCTATTTGCAATTTATCTTCAACTTTTCCTAATTTGCAATGCCACGAATATCTAAGTGCTCATATTATGATCTACTGTCTATAACACGAGATAGCCTGACTCGGTGACCTCTATGGTCTTCCGCTACCTTCACTCCTCGACATTAATGTCTTTCTGTATCATTCGTATCTTTGCTAATTGTGGTGTATAAGATAAATTTTTTGAATTGAAACTTGCAATTGAATTGAATTGAATGAATTGAATTTCTTTTTTTTTTCCTTTTTTTTTTTTTTTTTTTTTTTTTTTTTGTTTTTTTTTTTTTTTTTTTCTGAATATTGAATTGAATTTGATTGAATTGAATTGTAGAGATGCACCATGGCAAGGCAACACAGCTTTGAGATAGGTGTGGTATTCATCACAGTTACCACCGCGACCCGTGCCCCAGCGCGACAGGCCAAGAATGCTTCGATGTCAGGCCGCTAGCCAAGCTTTATTGTTGGGGGGGGGGGGGGGGCGCGGGCGAGGTTTCGTTTTCCAATGTTTGGCAATTTGCCTCGCGCAGGGGCGCTGCACGGATTTGTACGGGGGGGGGGGTCTACCCGTTAACCAACAGTGCCGAGCGCACGCGCAAGGGGGCATTCTGTTGGGCAAATATTTCAAAATATTACACCCCCCTCCAGCATGCGTATTTCATGCGCGAGCAAGGGAGGTCGGCACTCCCTGGACCCCCCCTGTACACGCCCCTGCTCGGGCGCGAAGCGACCAGGCGAGGGAGCCAAGCGACCGAGCGGGGGGAAGGTGTGGGAGGGGGGCGTTCACTGTTCACCCTCCCGCACGATGGAGATTTTGCAATTATTACACTAAAATGGAGCGACCTGAGGTGAAATTCTTGCAAATTTTCAAAAATAAATTTTTTTTTTGCTTGGGGGGGGGGGGGTCGTTCGAACCCCCCGAACCCCCCTGGCTACGGGCCTGCATGTAATGGTAGAAATCTCTTCGCGAGGATGTGTAGATCACATAAGGATGTTCACAATGTTGACATTTGCGCTGGTGATCAGGATTACCAGGACAGACATGACGCAGAATTCTATGACCACAATAATGACGTTCATAGGGACTGTCGGAGGACAGTCGGCTACAGACACAAATGAAGCATACCTACGCTGATATAGACGTGTGTAATGAAACGATAACGATAACGATAACGATAACCTAGGAACTAGGAAATGTCAGATAAATTTTCCGTGATTCGGGAACAGAAGTTCATCGGGACGTGGGAAAGACCCTCTAAAATTGTCTGGGATCTGGGAAAATTGTGTCAATTCGTCGGGATTTTAATTTCTGCGCTATTTATTTAATTTATTAATTTTTTTATATTTTTTATTAATTATGCCCAGATAAATAATAGTAGGCCCTATGTAAATATTAGTATTTATGTAGTGTTTGAAAACCTAAACTACTGAATTTCCTGAAACATGTCTACATAATTTCCTGGGAACTGGGAATTGGGATTTTATTTCACTGGGAACTGGGATATGGGGTGTATTTTGCTGGGAAAGTGGGAATGTACCCCTCCCCCCCCCCATTCCCCCTTCTATATAGTCAATGGCCGCGTGTGTGCTGTACGTGCGGGCTTGTTCTTGTTGTACTGCCAGTGCACGGGACAGCTTCGCGTGTGTCTCAATCCTCGCGATCTCAACAGGACCATAAAAAGAGAGCACTACCCCATGCGCACTCTAGAAGATATCACGGTACAACTGGCTGGAGCAAAATACTTCAGCGTTGTTGATGCAAGATCAGGATACTGGTGCATCAAGCTATCAGAGCAAAGTTCGAAATTGAAAACGTTTGCCCTTCGGCGTACACTCGGCGCAGGATGTTTTCCAACGAAAAGTGGACGAAACACTAGAAGGCATTCCGGGTGTTGCAGCAATCGTCGACGACATATTGGTGTACGGACGTACACTAGTCGAACACGACATGAACTTGCGTGCGGTCTTGCAGAGGCTGAAGGAGAAAGGTGTTAAGCTAAACAAGGACAAGTGTAGTATCCGCATGACTGAAGTCAGCTACTTCGGTCACATTCTGTCGTCCGAGGGAGTGAAGCCTGACCCCCGGAAGGTAGCAGCTATTGCGAAGATGGATCCGCCTGTCGACCGTGCTGAACTACTGACCATACTAGGCATGGTTGGCTACTTGGCCAAATTCGCTCCCCGGCTAGCAGAGATAGCAGCTCCACTCAGGGACCTTGCTAAGAAGAATGAATTTGTGTGGGACAGCCAGCAGGATGGCGTACTCCAGCAGGTGAAAGACTTGATCTCCCAACAAGGACATAATATTGGAATCCCGAGAATAGCCGACAAAAGATCCGTGACGTCATATTTGCTGAATGGGTGAATTGATTATCTGTGTGCACTATTTTGCAGTCTTATGGATGGCGAATGCAAGAAGCGATGTTTGTTCATGAAGTGCGTGAGCGCTGCCGGGGCGACCGTATGCTCAGATGCTTGTGCCGTGGAACCACTACGAAGCGTATGTGATAGTCGTTGGATACTCAGGTCGTTTATCTCAGATAGGAGGGTGGGTTTACACTCGGCAGGTCTGTGATTAGAAAACT